TAAATACACTGTTGATGTTTACAAGTCCTGTGATGCACCCTTTATACTATTTGGATATAGCAAGCATTAGGCTGCTAGAGTTGTACCTGCCAAGAATGGGGTACATTGACATTGTGGCAGGCTTATGCAATATGTAATCATATAATGTAACTAAACCCCCATTAAAGGGACACTATAGTCACCTGAACAACTTTAGCTTAATGAAGCAGTTTTGATGTATAGAACATGCCCCTGCAGCCTCACTGCCCAATCCTCTGCCATTTAGGAGTTAAATCCCTTTGTTTATGAACCCTAGTCACACCTCCCTGCATGTGACTTTCACAGCCTTCTATAAACACTTCCTGTAAAGAGAGCCCTATTTAGGCTTTCTTTATTGCAAGTTCTGTTTAATTAAGATTTTCTTATCCCCTGCTATGTTAATAGCTTGCTAGACCCTACAAGAGCCTCCTGTATGTGATTAAAGTTCAATTTAGAGATTGAGATACAATTATTTAAGGTAAATTACATCTGTTTGAAAGTGAAACCATTTTTTTTTTTTCATGCAGGCTCTGTCAATCATAGCCAGGGGAGGTGTGGTTAGGGCTGCATAAACAGAAACAAAGTGATTTAACTCCTAAATGACAGTGAATTGAGCAGTGAAATTGCAGGGGAATGAGCTATACACTAAAACTGCTTTATTTAGCTAAAGTAATTTAGGTGACTATAGTGTCCCTTTAACCCCTTAAGGACCAAACTTCTGGAATAAAAGGGAATCATGACATGTCACACATGTCATGTGTCCTTAAGGGGTTAATGGGGGTTCCTTTAACTATCCACTTATTTCAGGTGGAAGGGGTTTTCAGACACACTTTTTTTTTTTTTGTTCCCCCACCATAACCTTTGTGTGTGTGTGTGTATATGTGTGTGTGTGTGTATATATATATATGTATATAGAGAGAGAGAGAGAATCCTTTTTCCATTTCAACATGTGCCTTTTGAGTTTGCAACCTATCAGGCCAATTAGATGCACGTGTCTTTTTGTGTGGCGCTTCATACAGCTTGTGGTACTCACATTTAACATTGAAGGCATCCATCAATTTAGCACTACAGAAAGCATGTTAAACTCACAGCCTGCATGCAGCCCACAATGAATTTCTTTGCGGCCTGGCAAGGGATTTTTGCGCCCGCCTCTGCCTGCGCCCCCAACGAGCATGTGGCTCCACCATTGCTACCTTCACCTTGGGCGCTGGCTCTGTGAGTGAACAGCTCCCTGAAAATAGGGAAGGAGAGAGGCAGTATGAATGGAAGTGGTAGGAAGGGAGACATGGGGGAGGATATGAATGGGAGGGGAGAGAGACATGGATGGAAGGGGGAGTGTAATATGCATGGAAGGGGAGAGAGACATGGATGGAAGGGGGAGGAAAATATGGATGGGAGAGAGACCTGGATGGAAGGGGGAGTGTAATATGCATGGAAAGGGAGAGAGACATGGATGGAAGGGGGAGGGAAATATGGATGGGAGAGAGACCTGGATGGAAGGGGGAGACATATATGTACGGGAGAGAGACCTGGATGGAAGAGGGAGGGGAATATGGATGGGAGAGAGACATGGGTGGACATGGAGGGAAACAGACATTGAATGGAGGGGAACAGAGACATGGATGGAAGGGGGCTAGAAGTTAGCGGAACAGTGTGCGCAGCCACACCTTACTCTGCCTAGAGATTGCAGAGGGACAGGAAGTGAATGCTTTCCTATGAGACTGGCTGAATGCGCGCACAGCTCCTGCCGCGCATGCGCATTTAGCTGAAGAGGAGGATCGGAGGCGGAGAGGAGGAGGAGAGCTCCCCGCCTGGCGCTGGAATAAAGGTAAGTTTAACCCCTTTCCTCGCCATCCAGCCCGGCGGGAGGGAGTCCCTGAGGGTGGGGGCACCCTCAGGGCACTATAGTGCCAGGAAAGCGAGTATGTTTTCCTGGCACTATAGTGGTCCTTTTAAGCCTGAAACAAAAACAAAAAAAGAGCATTAAGGGGATTGTAGTTTTCCAGCAGTTGTATATTTACCTTTGGTCACCTCTGCATTAAGTAGTAAATGGCAGGTGTAAGAGTTGAAAGGATAAACTTTATGTGAACATAAAATAGGCAGACTTCGAAAAGCGTAAAGGGAAGGAAAGCATGACATTACTAGAAATTCAAGAATGTGGTTTGTTTTGTGTGTAGTGGGAGTGGACCATAACTATTTAGTGGGTGTTTGCTGCGCGTGGTGCGGTCTGTGTGTAATGTGCACTGTCTGTCTGGGAATTTTGAAATACTAATTCTCTTTAGAACACAATGGTATCTGCTCTAGACTTTGAAATTTATTTTGCTCGTCACTTTGTACAAATAAAATGTCACCTATTGCTGGAATTTCTGAGCGTGTCAACTGATGCTTTAAAGGACCACTATACTTTTAAACTACCTTTCTAGATGAAATAGTTCCCCAAGAGTTTTACTTCACTTATTTCACCTGGTGCGCCGGTCTCTTTGTGGCTGTCAGCCTCTGTGCGGCAGATCATCATAAATGATGCCTATTCTCAGAACAGACAGTGTTTACATTGCTGAGACTTCAGGGACAAGCTTTTTACCCCAGAAACACTGCTTTACACTTTAGTGGTTCTGATACTTCTAGTGTCCTTCTGTCACTTCTGTCTCTCTGGTACTTATAGTGTTCGTTTGCAAAGCTCTAGCCTTTGTGGAAGATTTGTACTGTGTGTTGAGATTTGCCCCTCTATCTATAAGTCTAATAGTACATAGTTCTAAACCTGACATGAACTTCATTGTCTTTCATCTGTTTCTTTCAGGTTATTCAGTACAATGAGTATAGCCATGAACTGCAAGTAAATTTAAAATGTTATGAAGAAAAGACAAACTGGAAAAGTTCTCCAAGTTAGCTAAGCTTTCATTTGAGCTATTTTGGTCTTAAATTTAAAATTCACTTTGCATTCCTGACAATTCTCAATTCAGTGACTAACCATGTTAATGCAATCTAGGTTTAAAAAAAAAAAAAAAAAAGACTCAAGTCCGTCAAGTTCAACATTGAAACCCATTCTTTTTTATGCTGTTGATCCAAAAATGGATTTTATATCTTGTTTCTTATATGTTAGCTCTTCTAAATTTAGCTGACTTGCATGTATTGCTTTCCCCCCCCCTTTAGAGTGGAAGCCATTTTGAAATTGCATCTGTATTTTGAACCCGAATTGGCAAAGAAAACCTGTTGTGCGATGCCAGCAACCAGTCATAACCTGCGATTCCAACAAAATGATTTTGCTCCCGTCTTATGTTGCATTAGTTTGGCGGCCTAGCAATGACAAATGCTGATTGTGTTCTCAGGATATGCAGGTCAGATATATATTTTTTATTTTTTATAATTCTTTATTTTTGTGTGCAAAGGGTTACAAGCATTTGTATATGGCCACAACAGCGTCTGCAATCATCACATCTTATAGGTTCAGACTGTGGTAAGGCAATTGTGTGTACTGCACATTTTTAATTTATGATCTAGTAAAGCTATCTAGTGAACAGGTGTTGTTGGTAATGATTGAGTCGAGGTGTGCCAACCGTATTATCCGGAGCAATCTATGCATTATTGCAGGAGTGTTATGTGGTAGCCTGTGTGTATTAGTAATTTGTTGCGTGTGGTGTGCAGGTTTTCTTGGCAACCAGACCGGCTTAGTGTGATCCACTTTGAGGAGGTGGGTAGGCGCAGCAGGGCTGTGCAGGAATGACAGCCTATGTACATAATAGCTTATAGCTAAAAGGAGGGCTCTTATCTGTGGATGAAGTCAGACCCCTAAGGCTCCTTATGAGAAGTGTGGGATGTCGATTAGCGTGTGGTAAAGCAGGGTTTAACAACGTGGTCTGGGGCCTGGTGCATCACATTTGTATTATCAGGGTGTCCCTGAACAGCAGTACGTATGTACTCCTGTGGATGTGCCTCTCTGTTCTCAGGGAGTGGGTGCGCTGTACCTATTGAGGTAAGGAGTGCCTCACTGCATTCTTAGGAGCATGCTGCGGGTGTAATGGTAGTGTCTGGTTTAAGTGTGGCCTAGCGTGAGTGAGGCCTATAACATAAACAGAGAATATAACAATATAAAAAATAAAACAAACTGTTTTAAGCTTGTGCGAGTTAAGCAGGAGGTTTGGTATGTGGCTCTCTATAAAGACCGGTGGCTAGAGTTCAAGTTGTGGCAGCCTTGTAGGCGTCCAAAACATATCTTCGGGTGTCACTGTTAGTAGCCGTCTTATCAGATGCGGTAGCTCCGTGTCGGGGACCGTTTCTGCTACTCCCCTGATTTTAAGATTTTTGCTACGTCTATAGTCTTCCAGTGCTGCAAACCGCTGAACCTCTTGTAGTTGGATGGGTTGTGCCTTCGCATTGTCGGAGTCATTTTCCAAGGTTTCCATACGGCCAATGAAACCCTGTAGATCTTTATGGAATGTTGCCATATCCATTAGGTTGTCTCTCCGCAGGCCCGCCAGCAGCTCCTGCATGTCGGCTTTGGTGACTGGTGTTGAGTCCGGTTTTAAGGTTGCAGATACCGGGTTCTGGTTTAGCTCTCGCGGAGCAGGTGGGTGAAGATCCCCAGGCTCCAAACTTTGGTCGTCCAAGAAGTCGGAGCTCTCTCCCATGTAGGCGGCCATCATGGACGTTGAGGCGCCATGTGCCTGCCGCCATAAGTTGCCGATGCTCGTACCCGGTTTTCGGCTTGTCTGGCCTCTGTTTTTTAATTTTTGTCCCATGCTGATGTGGATTGCCTGGGGGTCCAGGTGGGGTCGATTTGTTTTTCCAGGTTTTTAGCTCCATTTAGAAAAAAGCTTACACTTATGAACTTGTGCAGGAGTCCTGTTTACATTTTCTGATGGCTGGAACTATCATCAAGTGGTGAACTATATATTAAAAAGAACTCTTCTGAAATACTGGGTATACCTGGAAGAACTTAAAAATGGCTGCTACCTTACAGTCATATCAGGTAACTGCAGCCCCAGGGTGTTTGCAGCAAATGTATGGATTTCAAAGACGAAACATTTTGTTACATTTATTTTTCAGTGCATTTTTTATGTAACACATTGAAATAGTATATAATGTATAGCTTACCGTGTTCATTTAGTATATAAAAAAAACAACAGGAATTGGGGCCATGTCTGGAACATACATTCTGAGTTCTGACTTAAAGATCATCACATACACACACAAAATAATTTAGTTTAACATTTTGCAAGGCTACTTAAAATCACCCATCTTAACAAACAAATATGGAGATTCAGCTTCATTATATGCCCATACTGTGTTAAACCCAATATCGGTGGGTCCTACACCAATATTAACATGCGAGATAAACATGCTATGGTCGCCTCCAAACGCACCTAGAGTGGGTGTCTGAGGTGCTCAAACCAAAAGGAATCTGGTCTGGATTCCAAATATACACAGAGAAAAGGGGGATTGCAGGAACACACCAAACATGCATAGCTCAGTAGTTCTGCTTAAGTAAACCCCAAAATATATACAAAATACAGATTAGTTTCTCCTTTGGAAGTGAATACAGGAAAGCATATATTTGAGGAGACTATGGAAGCAGTTTATGCAATATTTATTGCACTTGGCATATTTATCTTCCTTGCTAACATTAGTGCAGGGTCCACTGAAATTGCAGTACTTTAATGTATTGGTGGGCTTAACATGGTATGGCCATGAGGTGGAACTGAACCCCCATATTTGTTTGCTAAGACGGGGGGATATTAAGAAGCCTTGTAAAATCTGAAACTGTTTGCTGTTCTTTAATCTGCATGCGGAGGACATTGATTGTAATTGGCCCCTTATGGATTAAAGGAAATCAGTCATTAATTATAATGAACTTGAAACCCCAAAACATTCCTACTGAATTGTTATTGTTTTTTTTTTATCTTTGTTTCTTTGTTACATGGTTATATATAGTAATTTTTAAAAGCCACCTGGACATTTTAAGTTTCTTTATTTTTTTTCCTTTGGTGTATATATAGCCAGCTAACAAGATATGGCGAGATGGCAGCTAATGCAGGCTGTGGCTCATCTCCACACACAAATTAATGTCAGTCAACTGTGAATGTGAAGTATCGGTGGCCCTTTATAAAATTATAAAATGTGGCACCCACTACCTCTTTAAGTTTCTTAAATTCTCTGTTCCAAAAGAACACACTAGAAATAGGATTAAAACTAAAACATCTGGATTTTGCTTGGGCTTGTTTCTGATTCCACTTCATTTTAGTGGTTTACAATTAATGCTGCCAACATTCTTTTTATTGTATTTTTCCCTCTTAAGAAAGTACATGTTCAGTAGTTGTTTATATTCATTTTGTGAAGATCAGGTCACCGCATGTTTCATCTCCACTCCCTGTAGCTGATGAATCAAGGCATGGAAATTTAAATTATAAAGGAGAAACACTTAGTAATTCTGTTTTCATTTTTTGCACTTCACTGGGTAGTACACAGTTGACATTTAACATTTTACACCATTTAAATTATTAAAAAAACGTACTAACCTTTATCATATTGCATTTAGCACTTCATTTGATACTCTTGCTCCTTAAAAATCTTCTCCTTGCAATCAGACAGACATCTGTATCGCAAAAATAATCACAAATTTCACCATAACATTCCCTTGATTAGATTATGTGACTAAGGAGTGAGTTTATCAAATGTTCACCCTTGACTTTCGATGGACTTTTTTTGATGAAATAAAGCAAATTAATGTAATTGTGATATGTTTGGATACTAGGATGTACTTCGCACATAAACCTAAGGGGGAATTGTATTTGAAAATCAATTGTATGATATGGGGCATTACAGTCTGCTATTAAAAGGAACAGCTTAATGTAGTTGGTCTGGTGAGTATAAACGTTCCCTTCAGGCTTTTTTTTCATGTAAACACTGAATTTTCAGAGAAAAGGCAGTGTTTACATTGCCTCTAGGGACACCTCCAAGTGGCCACTCCTTAGATGGCCACTGGAGAAGCTTTCTGGTTCAGTGCTGCTGAAAAAGCAGCACTGACGTTCAGCGCCCCCATTGATTAAATGCATTCTGCGCTCCCATTGATTCAATGCATCTCTATGAGGAGGTCCTTAATGGCCCCTGTGCCGATTTTAGCCAATCCAATACTCTCCCTATGGGAAAGCATTGGATTGCCTAAAAATCGCCCAATTTGATATCACAAAGGATATCACAAAGGACCCATGCAGCGCTGGAAATAAGGTGAGTTTTAAACTTTTATAGGGGGGCAAGCCACCTAAATGGTGGGTTTAGGACTATAGGGTCAGGAATACATGTTTGTGTTCCTGACCCTATAGTGTTACTTTAAAATGTGCAACAAATCTCTGCAGTTTGCTTAGAATTCGAGCCTCCCTGCCTCTCCCAGACTGCTAGAATGCGGCCACTGTACTTTGAGCCAAAGCAGCTTTTGCACATGGAAGTAAGAGTACAGAGAGTCAGTAAGGGCTGACTCTTGCAGGGGGGGGTAATTAGGACTTAAATAAGTACATTTTATTTTGCACTGCTTTGCGAACCAAAATTTAAAGACGTTGAGGCTAAGTTTATTGCCTTTTCAAATTGCACCTGTTATCCATAACTTAATAAGTGCATTGCGTTGGCAAAATAGAAAGCAGGTTTATTGATTATAAGATTTGCTTCCCTTAAAGTCACTTACTATTCCTTGAAGATGTCTTGTGTGCAATTGCCGGCCCCAAATGGCAAGCAAATCAAAGCACTATTCCTTGAGACTACCCTAAGAATTATAGGATCTTGACACATCACCAAATGTCTACTTAGATATGTATGCAATCCATATGTGAAATTGCCCGTCTCCTCTGAATTTTTAGTTTTTACTACTACGCCAATGATATGGAGGTAAAGTTTACGGTGAGAAGTGTCTAGTGAAACATATTTTCACTTATCCAGATGCTAACACATTGGCTAATAAAAGATACAATTGACGCTCTGTTCCTCATATAGTGTCACTAATCTGCGGCTGTCCTACACGTGTGTGCACCTGCCACACTCCCTTTTCAAATGTTATTTCCATGTCTCTTAATGAGCATTAATATTTTAGACACTCGTGCAATGCAGTGAATGATTCTGCTTTAAAGTCTGTGTGCCAAGAACCAGTTTCTGTGTGTTTTTTTGTTGTTTTTTTGTCAGTCCTTGTCATTTTTAAATATTTATTATTTTGTTCGTTACTAAATGTGTCCCATAAAGACTTGTGACATTATTGGAAAATAATATTTAGCTGCACATTCATTTCTATGCTCAGTACTAATGGTAAAAGGGTAAAATAAACCTCCAGCATTTGTAATCCCCAAATATAAGATGATGATGCTATTTTGGAGAGAACATATCTAAATTCATTTAAACCAAGCAGAGGCCAAATTGAATGGGCATCTGATCGTGAAATCTCCAAAGACAGTTTGCCAGGAAGCATAATGCTGTATCTGTGGGGATTTGATTGGTAGCTAAGGGGATTAACATGTCTTATGTCAGTACCTCATGTCTATTCCACTGATATAAAACCTGTAAATGGCAGTATCTAATATGTATGCAGAGAGCCCACACTGTTTTGTATCAGGACTCTTTTACCATGACATGTCAATTGCATTTAACTACTGCATGGGCGAGTGAAATTAAACAGCCTCTCAGGGAATCGTCAGACGTTGGGGAAAAGTACTAAAACCCACTGATCTTGTTTAACAAGATGAGTGACATTTGTTTAAAATGTGATCTGAACGAACATTAAAGCCCTGTTTTGAAAAACCCAGCCGTGCATTTTATGTTCCTTTTAATGTGCTTTGCCTCTTCTGAGTGTAAAATGTTTTCATAGCTGATCATCTTTTCAGATGAAGACTAGTCAAGGATTATCTCTTCATAATTTATTTTTTTTAAAGAAAATTTATCTGATGGAATTAAAGCTAGTGTGACCTTCTTTCCTCTTTATTGTGAATGTTTTAATATATATTAACATCACTGCTGCCATGTGGACTGCACATATCCTTGCACATTGATTAATTCCCTCGCATCTCATCCGCACTTTGTCTCCATCTCTTGCTCTTCCACTCACTAAAATCTTCAATCTCTCCCTTTCCTCTGGCACATTTCCCTCTTCCTTCAAACATGCAACTGTAACCCCAATTCTGAAAAAGCCCAGCCTTGACCCTAACTCACCATCCAACTACCGCCCTATCTCGCCATTGCCTCCAAGATCCACGAGAGAGTTGTGAACATCAGACTGACTGACTTTCTCGAATCCAACTCTCTGCTTGACCCCCTTCAGTCTGGATTCCGCACTGGTCATTCTGTCGAAACCGCTGTGACCAAAGTATCCAACGATCTAATCGCTGCTAAATCTTGCCGCCAATACTCTATCCTAATTCTCCTTGATCTTTCTGCTGCCTTTGACACTGTTGATCATCAACAGCTTCTTTGCATTCTCCGTAATTTTAGTCTACGGGAGACTGCTCTCTCCTGGTGCTCCTCCTACCTCTCCCAGAGCTCCTTTAGTGTTTTTTTTCTCTGACTCTGTCTCTTCCCCCCAACCACTCTCTGTCGGTGTCCCCCAAGGTCCTGTCCTTGGTCCCCTACTGTTCTCTATCAATACTGCCTCCCTTGGGAAACTCATCAGCTCCTTTGGCTTCCGTTATCATTTCTATGCGGATGACACGCAAATCTACCTGTCCTCTCCTGATCTCTCTCCACCCATCTTGACCCGTGTCTCTGACTGCCTCTCTTCGATCTCCAACTGGATGGCTGCTCACTTCCTTAAACTCAACCTGTCCAAAATAGAACTTCTGGTCTTTCCTCCCTCAAGTGTTACTACTCCTGTATCGGTCTCCCTCCAAGTAAACGGTGCTACCATCACCTCTACCTCACAGGCTTGCTGCCTGGGTGTTCCTTTTGACTCCAACCTCTCCTTCACCCCTCATATCCAATCAATCACCAAATCCTGTCACTTCCATCTCAAAAACATAGCGCGCATTCGTCCGTATTTAACCCCAGATGCAGCTAAGGTGCTGGTCCGTGGTCTTGTTCTCTCTCGCCTTGACTACCCTTCTCAGTGGTCTTACATGTTCCCAGATTGCACCGTTGCAATGTATAATTTCCTGTCCGCTCGCACCTCCCCGCTCTGTCAGTCTCTGCACTGGCTTCCAGTTAAATATAGGGCTCAATTTAAAATTCTGGTGCTTGCTTACAAGTCCCTACATAATGCTGCTCCAACCTACCTATCCTCCCTAATACACAAGTATGTCCCATTAAGGCCCCTACGCTCTGCCAAAGACCTACGTCTATCCTCTGTCCGTACTCCCACCTCTGATGCTCGCCTCCATGATTTCTCCAGGGCTGCACCTCTTCTGTGGAACTCTCTACCCTTCTCCGTAATACTTTCACCCAGTCTCCATTCATTCAAAAAATCATTGAAAACTCACTTCTTCAAGAAAGCATATCAGTTAAACTGTAAGCAGGTTTTTATCCCCCACCCCCCATGACTCCTTTCCTGCAACT